TCTCTCTCTTTTTCTTTATATATATATATATATATATATATATATATATATATATAGTATGAAAAAAGAACGGACAAACAAAACTTTAAAATGTTCCAATACTTTAATCTGGTTTGGTTTCTAAATAAGTTATATACATAATCATACAACAGATAGATCCATTAATAGATCCACAAACCCGAAGGTATAATGCGTGTACACTGATAAAAATAATTTTGTGGTGAAGTAAATACTACATAAAAACAAATGTAATTTCTACATTAAATAATTTAGTTCAGGCAAGAATTTAAAAAATAAAGTAAATTTTATATTACTACTCAATTTAAATCTACATTGGGAAAGGAATGTCAATATAAAAGACAAATGTAAAAGTCACTATGACATCAAAATTGAAAATGACAAAAACTACAAGATCTGAACAATTTGTGTCGGTGTATACTATATTAACTGGTCTGAGACAAAACTTGAACTGTTTTTTTTATACCATACTGTTGTTTTTATATATACAAAACAAAACTGATATGTTTGTACGGTTTATTTTAGTGTCTCAGGTAATAGTTTTATAATATTACACTTACAGTGAAATTAGGAAATACCTCTTTAGTCAAAAGTAATTGCTCAGGACAACAGTCCTGTTAGTCTCTGCTACCTGTAGGAAATGGATGTGATCGTCTGTGTGTAAAAGCTGCTCCAGCTCAGCATCTCTCCTCTTCAGATCATCAATCTCCTGCTGTAGTGGCTCCAAGAGTCCTTCAGCTCGACTCACTTCAGCCTTTTCCTGATCTCTGTTCATCCATCACACACATCAAACAAACACATCGCTTTTCAGTTCGACAAAAAACCTCCAGCAGTCGGTCATGTTTAGAGCAGATCATCTTCTGGAATCGTCCAGCATCAGTTAGTTTATGCCTCTTAATTAAATGAGATTCCTCATGACACTCAAAGTGAGTTTGACAGTAAGATTCAAGACACACCAGACAGGACTTTACAGCTTTGCGTTTCCTTTCAGTACAAATATCACACTTCACATCTCCAGGTCCAGCATAACTGAGATCTATCTGGACTTTTTTCTTCTTCAGTTTCTCCACCATTTCAGTAAACATTACATTCTTGTTTAAAGCAGGTCTTAGAATGAAGGTCTGTCTGCACTGAGGGCAGCTGTAAACTCTCCTCGGATCATCTTTAGTCCAGTAGTTTTTAATGCAGTTCATGCAGTAACTGTGTCCACAGGGGATGGTCACTGGATCCTTCAGTAGATCCAGACAGATTGAACAGCTGAACTGATCCTGAGCCACTGAAATACTGGTTTCTGCCATGTTCCTCCACATACATACAGATACAGACAACGGCTGGAACAACGCATAAATTTCAGGTTCTCTCAACTAAATTTCCTTTTTTGAGATGTGTGCAAAAAAGTGTGTGTGTTTGTCAAAATGT